GGGTTTCAGCTGTACATGCAGCCCTGGCTATGAGCTTGTTGCTGCTGCTGTAGGAAAGCGCTGTAAATATACAAGCCCCTGCGCAGCAAATGCATGCGGATCTCCTGCTGCTGTTCTTTCTTGCGCAGCAACAGCAACTAGCTATACCTGTCAGTGCAATACAGGTTATACTTTATTTAAAGGTGAAGGCTCAGAGTTTTGTATAAGAGACGAGCAAGCAAGCAGCAGCAGCAGCAACACTTATCTTCTTGCCGGTGTTGGTGTAGGCTCTCTCTTGCTGCTCCTCGCTCTCTTCGTCCTCCGCAGCAAACAAAATAATGCTGCTGTTGCTGCTGCTGCTTCACAAGAACTAGGCGAAGCAGATTATTCTCTTGCAGCTGTACATACACCTGGGTCTTACCCTACACAAATGCAATAAACAACATTAAGACATCATCGTCCTCATCTTTCTCCTTCTCCTCCTGCAGCAGCAGCTGCTGCTGCTGCAGTTGCTGCTGCAGTTGCTCATAAAGCAGCACCAGCTGCTGCTGCACTTCATGCTGCAGTTGTTCCTCCAGTTGCTGCTGCATTTGTTTCTGCACTTGTTGCTGCTGCTGCAGTTGCTGCTGCTGCAGTTGCTGCTGCTGATTTGGGTTACATGCAGCAGTCTGCCCTGCGGAACAGAAGGTGTAGATAGCTGCGTAGACACCCCAGAAGGTTTCAGCTGTACATGCAGCCCTGGCTATGAGCTTGTTGCTGCTGCTGTAGGGAAGCGCTGTAAATATACAAGCCCCTGCGCAGCAAATGCATGCGGATCTCCTGCTGCTGTTCTTTCTTGCGCAGCAACAGCAACTAGCTATACCTGTCAGTGCAATACAGGTTATACTTTATTTAAAGGTGAAGGCTCAGAGTTTTGTATAAGAGACGAGCAAGCAAGCAGCAGCAGCAGCAACACTTATCTTCTTGCCGGTGTTGGTGTAGGCTCTCTCTTGCTGCTCCTCGCTCTCTTCGTCCTCCGCAGCAAACAAAATAATGCTGCTGTTGCTGCTGCTGCTTCACAAGAACTAGGCGAAGCAGATTATTCTCTTGCAGCTGTACATACACCTGGGTCTTACCCTACACAAATGCAATAAACAACATTAAGACATCATCGTCCTCATCTTTCTCCTTCTCCTCCTGCAGCAGCAGCTGCTGCTGCTGCAGTTGCTGCTGCAGTTGCTCATAAAGCAGCACCAGCTGCTGCTGCAGTTGTTGCTGCAGTTGTTCCTCCAGTTGCTGCTGCATTTGTTTCTGCACTTGTTGCTGCTGCTGCAGTTGCTGCTGCTGCAGTTGCTGCTGCTGATTTGGGTAGGCCGCAGCAATGGCAGAAGCAGCCAGCAGCAGCAGCAGCAGCAGCAGCAGCAGCAGCAGCAAAAGCGGCAGCAGCCTCCGCTAAAA